TTAAAATTAGGGAGAAATTGTGGTGGTTTTCTTTTCCTTTCTTTTTTTTTTCCCTGAGCACATACATATGTGAGAGAAAACACCTATGTGTAAAGCTGAGCAAAGGCTGAAGTTCAAACAGCTTGTAGACCCTGACTATTTGCTTATAGATTCGGTCCTACAGAGGGGCTGTGGAGTCCCTCTGGACTTTGACTGAAATAATTCTGATTTCTTTGATAGGCTGATGTTAATTACCCACTCCCCAGTTTGTGAATGCTGGCTCTCGTGACACAGCCAGCATTTCACCAGCAATTAGTGCAGCAGCAGCAGCTCTTTATGACCACAGCACACATCAGAGAACTGATGAACAGTGAGCAGAAGAAAACCTGGGTAAAAACATCCATCAACACAGAAGGTTCTGTGGGATCACCTTATAATGTGATAGACCTGGTCTGAATTCCGTGTAATGAATAACACACGTGAAGAACTGGCCTTAGTTAAGAAGTCCCAGTAATGAATGGATCTGTACTTTTGTGTTGGCAGTTACATTTCTTCTAGGCTTTCAGGGTCTTCGGAGCTTAACATGCATGCAAATTCCCTCAAGGCAGAAACATACTTACCTTAAATTCAAAAATATCATCACCTGAAAAGCTGAGATCTTACATGACAGTTAAATGTAAGAAAATCCCTTACCCTGCAGAAGGGTTCTTTTGCCTGTATTTCTTTTGTTCCAATCAACTTCAGACCTCGGACGTTGTTCTGGAGCCCTCTCTCATACAGAGCTTTGAGTCTTGGGATTTCATCTTGTTCAACAGCTACAATTAGCTACAGAAAAGATAACAAAGCACACTAGTGAGCAAAATACACAAAGCCCGTTCAGGCCTGGCATCAATCCCAAGCTAAGAGCAAGCAATAGTGAGAGCAAACATTGAATTAGAATGGAAAGGGGAAAAAAATACCTTGCACCACTACTGGCACAAGTTGGCAAATACCATCCACCACTGAGAAAGCACAATACAGTAAAGACAGTGAAAAACAAACATTAATGTATCGTTTCAATGACCATCCATGGAAAATATTTGCTAAAAGCATTATGGGATCACAAATCTGAAAGAAGAGACGATGATTTTAAGGAGCCACGGGATGCCTCCAAGGAGACCACACTGACCTTAATCCAAGATGCACAAATCTCAAAACTGTTTTGGTATCAGAGTAAAGGATGGGCTCTGATACCACATCTAAACTGAAGTGCAGCAGCCTCCCTTCATTCCAGCATGCAGTTGGATCACTACTGCAAGAGATTTATCCAGGCTGTGAACTGTCTGCACCAAGAAGCTGCACTCCAGAAGCTAGCTTGCACAGGCAACACTACTTGCAGCCCCAGCTCAGCTCTGGGAACACTGGTACCTTTGCACTACAGGGCACAAATTTGTCCAAGCCTGGGGTTGCTTTGTTTTAAAATCAGCTATAAAGATTCATAATCTTCCCTGGAATACATATTGCTGAGGAAGGTGATGCACAAAGACACACAGCGTCAGCAAAGGACCAAGAACACTGGTAGGACAGTGCTAGCCCTTCCAAAGCACCACAACCTCCCAGCTGGTTCCCAGTTCTGAGCTGGGAGCTGGCTTCTATCTGCGGGTGTAAGGGCTGCACAAAGCCACACTGCCACCTTGTGACCAGTGTCACAGCTCAGGCTGCACAGCTCTGTGCAGACAAACGGATCCACCTGCACTGCACATTGCAGGTACCTCTGCTCTGCGTCCCCATCCCTGGAAGAGATCTGCACCCAGTTCGCAGCTGGTGCTGAGGAAAAGCCACTGGGCTAGCGGCCATCACATCAGCCAAGGTCTGCATTTTTAAGGGAAAGGCCTTTGTTACCCAAGATATTTCTGAGTGACCTGGAAAGGGGAAACCAGGTAAGTGAGGTAAGTCAGGTGACAGCTCAAAGCAGCTCAAGGTGGTTTTGATACTTCGTGGAGGTGATCCTGAAGAACTACAGAGGGACATTCTGAGGCGAGCAAGAAGTGAGCAAAATGGCTGATGAAATTCAGCGCAGGTGAAGTGTGAAACGATGTCCACAGAACAAAAGGTTTTGGCCTCTTACACAAAATGATGAGCATCAGGTTCCAAGTTATTGCTCAGGACCAAGACCTTGGAGCTACCGCAGACAGTCCTACGAAACCTGTGCGACCTGCTGTAGGGAACCTGCTTTGGCAGGGGGGTTGGACACAATGATCCCTGGAGATCCCTTCCAACCCCTACAGTTCTGTGATTCTGTGAAAACATCAGCTCCATGTCTTGTGACAGTAACAATGTCCCAAATTGTAAATTGGGAACTATTAGGAAAGGGGTACAAAGCAATAGTGGAGAACTGTAATATTTCAGTGCAAAAATCCAGAGTCTGACCACACCCTGAATGCTGGAGCTCATCTTGTACCAAAGATGCATTAAACTACAAATGGTTCACAGAAAACAAGATGTGAGTAACAAAAGGCACAAAACAGCTTCTCTGACAGGAGTGACTAAGCAGGCTAAGAGTCACCAGCTGCAAGAGCTGATTTATGAGGAGCAGGAAATACAAAATGATGCATGACTGGGAAAATGTCAGCACAGACTGATTGTTCAGCATGTCTTCCAATTAAAGGGCCAACAGGCATCAGATGAAGCTAGCAGGAGCTGGTTTCAAAACCAAAAGGGGTAGCTGGGCACGGGCTCATGCAATCATAGAATCATAGAATCATAGAATCACCAAGGTTGGAAAAGACCTAAAAGATCACCCAGTCCAACCGTTCACCTATTCCCAATAGCTCCCACTAAACCATGTCCCTCAACACAACATCCAGCCTTTCCTTGAACACCCCCAGGGTCGGTGATTCCACCACCTCCCTGGGCATCCATTCCAGTGCCTGACCACCCTTTCTGACAAGTAATACAATGAAGATCAGCAATGAGTTGCTGATCTGTGAAACTGATTTTAATTGAAAAATGCTTGGACAAGAAATCCATTGAATTACCACAGACAAGCCACATAAGGCTCAGAGTACAACTGTGAACCTGAACTGAAAGCACGTGGAATCTGGAAGAATTAGCAGATTTGCTTGTCTAGTTCTCATTCCTTCCTCAGTCTTTGGCTGTAGACACTTCCAGACACAGGCTGCATACATCCTGATCTGAACCAGTATAGCCACAATTCTGTTCCCAGCACTCTGAGATGTATTACCTGGATGTAATATGACATACATGCATGTAGCTGGGTCACATCTGAAGCTGTATTCAAGTCAGTGAGTCTTCTCAGAGCTTGTTATGCCAAGATGCATACTGAGAGCCTTTGTGTTCCTTGGAATTAATGGCTCTGCATGTGTGCCCGCCATGGCACTTTGCTTCCATGTTACCTGGGCTGATTCAGCTCAGCTCCCAGATAAGGAGAATAATTGCTTAGGGTCAGTGAAGGAACTGAATTGGGTAGCTGAGAAAAAGAAAATATGAAAACACCTTTGTCTGGAAGGCTGTAAAAAGCATCTCTTGGGAGAAACTACCATAGCCAGGCATAGACAATACACTGTAACATATGTTATACAGTTAGAGTTTGCAAAGTAGTTCCTATACCTTCCCACATTGTTTATATGGTATTCCCTTCTGGTCACAATACTCATAGCAGAGAGCTGCACCTTGTACACACAGCTTGGCTTTCAGGGATCCAGGAGTGTAGTAAATGCCGCTGTGAATCACACCGCTGTTATGTCCACTCTGGTGATGAGCTAAAGAGAAAGAAAAACGCACTGTTAAAATACACCAATAGAATCCCACGACTGATTATTTCACCCATTGGAAAAGTGTGCTATTGGAGGTCCTGCCCTAAACCAGTGTCATCGCAAGACGTGCTGATATAACATAACCACACAGCACACACAATTCCAGCCTGGGTTTCAGAAGGTTAAAAAAATACAGCCGTAGCAACACTTAGTTAATAACTAACTGTGACAGCTTGAAATGTGCTGAATCAACATGAGGGGGCAGCAATTTTTTGCTCCAAGCGTTACAACAGCAGGCCAGATCATCCAAGCTCCTATGCTAAGTTTAATTAATTCATATTTTACAGCGAAATATATCCTTAAAGGCCTCACTTAACAAAAAGTCAGTGCGACAGTCAATTGTTTGGGGCATGTCGGGTCCAGAAGGCTTTTCAAGTTCTTGTGAACTGCATCAGCTTGCTCTTTAACTTCTTCAGTTTACTTGGTTACTTTGCAACCAGGTCAAACTGAGTTGAAAAACATCAATACCATTTTTACAGAAGGAACTGGGCATGTTTTCTCTCTTTATAGAGTCATAGAGTTGGAAGGGATCACTAAAGGCCATCTGGTGCAGCTCCCCTGCAGCATGCCCTCTTCTTTGGGGATTGCTCAGCAGCACTGAAATTACAGGGCTCCAACTTTCTTATCTCAAAGCCAGGACAGATGTCCACATGCCTCGACATCTCCTGCATCCTTAAGCACGCTGGAAATAAACCCCCCAGCGTCTGAGGCAGCGATGGGAGCTGTGCCGCTTCAGTGCTGGCCGTGCACACGGAGCACCCTGAGGAGTAACTGCAGGAACCGCAGATCCAGCCAGGCGGAAGGGAACCTTAAAGGCCATCCAGGCCCCGCCTGCCGTACCTACTTGCCGCTCCTTCTCCAGCACGACGAAGCTGATCGCGGGGTGTCTCAGGACGAGCTGCCGTGCGGCGGCCAGCCCCACGATTCCCGCACCGACCACCGCTACGTCGAACGTGCTGCAAAAACAAGGGGCACGGGTGTGAGCGCGGTCAACGCCAGGCGGGGCCGGGCCGTCCCCGAGATCCCCTACCGCCCCGGCCCTCACGGAGCGCGGCGGCCGCGGCCTCACCTGCGCTGCCGGACCTGAGCCCTCCGCAGCGCCGCAGCCACAACGCGGCCGCAGCGCCGCCTGAGCAGCGCCGCCATCTTGTGGGCGGGCGGCGGGGGCGGCGGAGGGCCGCGCCGGGGGCAGAGTGCTGGGCTGCCGGGGCGGGCGCTGCGAGTGACGTTTCCCTTCGCCTTTCTTTCCCCTTGGATTTTCGAGATGCTGCTGGGAAAACTTGCGCAGCCGGCGCACAGCTTGAGCGAACGGCTGTCGGCGGGCGGCTGCAGGCGGTTCTGGGGCTGGCTGAACGCCGTGTTCAACAAGTAAGGGGCTGGCGGCGGGGCGGGACGAGTCCTCCGGATCTCTGCTTCTGTCTTCGTTCCTCACCGGCCTAACAAACAGCTTGTGTCAGAGTGGATCCAAGGGTTCATGGAATCACAGATCGGCCCGGGTTGGAAGGGACCTCAAGGATCACGAAGCTCCAACCCCCCTGTGCCATGCAGGGCCACCAACCTCCACATTTCATAGCAGCTCAGGCTGCCCAGGGCCCCATCCAACCTGGCCTTCAACACCTCCAAGGATGGACGGGGCATCACAGCCTCTCTGGGCAAAATAATAAGGGTTCTAACCACTGCATTTAGAGTGCTGTAATTCCTGAGGGAAGAGCGCTCACGAATGGCTTGCGTGTCACAGGTGTGAGAAGGGTTACTGCGTGCTGAGTCAAGCTGCGTTTGTATTCCTCCATTAACAAAGTGATATTAAAGGAACAAACAAACGACACACAACAAACCGTAATGCCAGACTGATTAAGATCCAGCCTGCAGCAGGGAGCTGCTATACAGGAGTATTGCACTCCGTGATCTCCAGAGGGCCCTTCCAACCCCTACAATGCTGTGATAATAAATCTGACAGCTTATAAGCAACATAAATGCTCTTCCTGGCTTTGCAGGGTGGACTACGAGCGCATCCAGGCTGTTGGGCCCGACAGGGCAGCCTCAGAGTGGCTGCTGCGGTGTGGAGCACTGGTACGCTATAAAGGCTATGAGAAATGGCAGCAGGACTACAGCGGCCTCCCCACTGGGCCCTTAGGGAAATACAAGATAGAAGCAATCAACGCCACTGAGTCTTGCATCATGTACAGAGGATTTGACTACTTGGGTAAGGTCAAACGACATGGTTCTTGCAGTACATACAAATGTTAACAACTGTTAATAAATGTTAACACCTCGTTCCGTAGTAAGATGTAGAGAAATCTGGTTGGTTGGTTGGTTGGTTGGTTGGTTTCCTTAAAATGCTCCTACAGAGATTCAGCAGTTCTAAGATTTTGCTGGAGGTGTGCTAGGAAGCAGGAAGAAAGATCTCAGCCTTTACTTGGAGTGGCAGTAGCACTAAGGAAGTGCACCAAAGACTGGCAGTTCAGTTAACTTCATAGTTAAGAGGTTGGTTTAAAAGAAAAATAGTGTTTAAAATAGTGCCTTTCCCCACCAACTGATGGTTTTGGTGGCTGTGAAGCCATAATACTGCTTGTCCTCCAAGAATTTATGGTATCTTCAAAGTCAGTAAAAGAAAAAAAGCATGCATCCATTTCTTATAGAGCATAAAAAGATCTAAAAGCGTTTCAGTTTTCCTTTAGATAACAAAAACCAGAGTGGGGATTAGCACAGTACAGCGTTCCTAATTCAGAATCATTCTTTTTCACTCAAACTTGCAGAGTTTTGTTTGTTACTTGCCTGTATCAGAGCTTTAAGGATATTACCTTAGGATGCCAAAAGGAGGTTGTTCATAATTGAAGTCCCACAAGAGGGGACTTTGGAGATTCATTGTGCATGAGGTCCCTCTTGCATGTAGGAGTATGTTTCTGTGTTACTGCATTTGCAAGGGGGAATGGAACAGCCAATACTGGTTGTTGCTGGTACTCTGAAGCCAATGTTCCTTTTTGTCTTTTCAGATGGTCTTGAACACGTTACTGAAATCAAGCTGCAGAAGTGTATTTATATACAGGATGAGTGTTTGCAGAGGCTCAGCGACACAAAGAACCTACAAAAGAGCCTCCTGCAGCTGAAGATCATTTCCTGTGGGAATGTCACAGATAAAGGCATCATTGCACTTCACAAGCTGACGTAGGTGAACTGCTGAGCTCTTCTGTACCAGCCCACAGTGCTGGGTTAGGTTGCTTGGGAACGCTGAAGTCTGACTGTTTTGTTGGCTGTTCAGATGTGTGGGGCGGTGGGAGGGCTGGGATTAAGGAACTGACCTGAATAAAACCTGGGAGGGGTGGCACTGCCACTGCAGGAAATACTTCTTCAACTATGATTGAAAACAGTGTTGTGGATAGCTTTGAAACAACACGTGAATTAATATGTATGTGTTAATCAGCCTCTTCAGGGTGGTATCAGGTACTTAATGCAGCACTGAAGCTTGCAGCTGCAAAAGCCAGAATTGTCTGTGACAGCGGGTGAATCTCAAGGTTTTGCTTCTACCTTTGGAGCTGAGTGCAGCACATTCCCCCTTTCCACCTGAAGTTACTGCACAAATGAGAGCAGGACGTGCCCTCTGTCCCCAAGAGCAATAGGAATGATTAGATCACCTTCCTTTCGTGTCAGCACACCAGGATGGTTTTGCTTGAGAATAAGAAACTACTGACAACCATGGCTTCTACTCATGACACCCCTCTGTGCTGCAGTTGCTTTTCAGGGCAGGTTTTCATGGTGTCTTTTGTTATCACATTCCTGCATCTTACAGTGCTTCCTGTCACTTGGTTACATTGTGCTCACTGTAGCCTTAGAGGTCTCAGGAGTTTTCTCTTGCAGTGTTCAGCCGGGAAGAGGTATGAGTTGGATACAGCACCCTCCTATAGCTTGGAAGCACATCATGTGTGCTTTATTGATTACATTTAAAGGAAACTCGATGATGTTGAGTGGCCAGGACCTCTTTGTAAACTGTGTACAAGTACTGACTTTGTTATCAACTAAAAACTTCAAGCACTCCATTTGGAAAAAATCTTCTGTGAGAATCATTAACCTTTCAAATACTCGTAACAGCTGCAGTAGAGTCATCCTTTGCCTGATATCTGAGCCAGCAGTTAAATAGTAGTTGCCGACTTTTCTTCTTATGTATTTATAGGAACCTTGAATATTTGTATCTGAGTGACCTTCCTGGAATAAGACAGAAAGAAACTACTGCTCGTGTCCTTCAGCAGGCACTGCCAAACCTAGAGCTGGAGCTGGATCTGGACTGAATGCAACGAGGGATGTTTGATTTCATGCTCTTTATCACATGTTGTGTAAATTAAGTTGTGGATGCCGCTCTATTTACAGGTATGGAAATAAACCCAGATCTCTCAATCCAGCCTTAAAAGTCATATGCAGTCTTTTAACAAATTATGCAGTTAAATTTCATTAAGCTTGAGGATTCTGTGTGTAGTAGTAGGCTTTATAGGAAGCCTTAATAGGTCGATCAGAAGTTACAAACTACTGTATTGCACAGAAGTTCTTGTGTAGAACATCAGTGAACAGAATGTCAGTATTGTGATGCAGCAGTGCTGTGCAGATTTATTAGACAGTGTTGATGCCATGTGAATCATAGAGTCACAGAATCCTCGGAGTTGGAATGACAGCCATTTACTTTGTCTGAAGGTGTCACCTAGTGAGTGAGTGACAGGAGCTCCTGGGCCTTTTTTCTGCTGTTCACTCTTTGATTGGCAGAGTCTTTCTTTGCTTCCCTTGGACTGAGCTGCAGACAAGCAGTCTATCCTCATAAAATCTGAGCTGATGAACCAACTAGCTGGATTTGTGGAGAGGTAGGCTCTCCACAATGAGCCCTGTACATTTTTGCCACACTCTCACATGGACTAAACCTTGTACCCCTTTACTTGCATCCGTATCACTCAGTAAGAGAATCATCCACCCTCAGGAAAGATACATCCTTTTTAGTCAGCTCCTGAGCTTCCCTTCAAAGATGGGAGGTGATGATTCCAAGAAAGCCACTTTCAGAGTAATGCCCCAAGCACGGCTACAGTGCCAGAGCTGAGAGCCTCTTTTATTATCCCCAGCTGCCACTTTATCCTCAGAAGTAAATGATGCACTGGAAGGGGTAACATTTTTGCTCTAGCTGCATCTCAGGCTGACAGCTCCTAGCACAGAGCAGGAGCAGCACCAAGGGAAGTTCCTCCAGCCTGCACTGCCCAGGGCCGTGTCCAGGAGCTGACTGCTAGGCTGTCAGTTACAGCAGCTACACAAGGATGTTGGGTGCTTAGCAAATGCACAGAATTAGATGACTCAGCCATACAGCAATGCCAGCGTTTTGAGCATAACCAGAACCACCTGACAAGCTCCAGGATTAAAATATCATATGGAATATAAGGTAGGCAGTTATGCTCACTAGGGATGGAGCTCCTGTTTCACTGAAATTGCTCTTACTGTTGCTGAACACATAACAGAACTGGGAAAAGGAAACATTTTTGCTCTAATTTTCAAGTAGGAAGAGGCAGTATCTTGACCATTATTAAAAGCTTACGTAGTAAAACACATCCTGTGAACTGGAAAAACAAGCTACATTTTTTTTAATTAAAAATCAACACAATATTACATTCTGAAATTACACAAAATCCAAGATTTGTTCTAATACACAGACTTAGGCAGAATTATTGCCCGTGTCTGGCTCCTGTTATAAATTATATTGAATTGTTTTTGATAAAAACAATTTCTGTAACACTACAGGCGAATGACTTCACATGACAAAACCAGCAAATATAAATAACTTCGTATTGCAAGGAAGAGACAGACAGGAGAAGCTCTGGAAAGGCCAAAGAAAAAAAGCAGACTTCAGTAATTACATTCTCCTTCTGTTCCCAGTGCCTGTGGAGCCTTCCAGTAAGTCTAAGTCAATGCCTGTGCTCGTGATACTTTATACTTTCTATAAAGATACTTTGCCTTACACAAGATAGACATATCTTTAAAACACTGCTATTTCAGCAGGTTTGTAATCAGCTGGACCTAATTCTCCTCAGCTGCACACACACACACACATCTGTCTTCCACTCACAAAGGGAATAGGTTTACAGGTCCTTGCAGCATCTGTTAGCTAGCCACAGTGACTCGGATTTATTCAGCAAGGTTACAGTTCTCCTGCCAAGTCTGAAACACAGCTAATGGATAGGCAACAGAGTTCTTGAGATTCACCCTGTAACACTGCTTTGCAGTAATCCTGAACCAGTAGGCAATCACAAATTAAAGTAAAAAGAATTGTAAGTAAAGAAAAATTAAAGTAAAGAAGAATTATATTTTCTTTACACAGAACACTGGCTAACGTGAGCTTGGAGTGCACCACTTTCCTTCCACCAGTAGCCCAGAGTACCTTGCAGTCCATTTCTGTATACATCATCACCTGTATTAATTCAGGTTTCCACCACGTGGCCTTTTATAAGTGCTGAAGGATTGGAACTTTGAATGCTAGGTAGTTTTTCATCTGCCACCCACTCAGATGTTAGGGAAATGGTAGTTGGATTTCCTCGTTTTGCAGAAGTACTTCTTGCTGTCCAAAGCTGGCAGAACATTGCTGCTGCTTAACTGAGGCAGGTACTGGAAGTAAAGCAAGAGTTACATCACGTGTAGTTGTTTGAAAGAAGGAGAAAGCATGCAGTTCATCTTTCAAACAGGGATATAAGGCATAAAATTATTCATACTGCACTCCTGTACTTTCCAAACTAAGAGTCACGAGCACATGCAGTTTGCTCAGCAGTCCTGCTACACCTCATCCTGAATGCACTTTCCTAAATAAACCTCATCTGTCACACTGCTGTGCTGCCTATCCCCAGTCACCCGATGGAGCTGCAGTGCAGAATTCAGCCTGCAGTGAGTTCCTCTTTAACCAGGAGATTCCTTTTGGATCTGTTCAGGTGTTGTACTGAAGGACATGGTTTAGTGGGAAATCTGGTGGTAGGTGGCTGCTTGGACTGGATCCTGGAGGTCTTTGCCACCCTTAGTGATTCTGTGGTTCTGTCATCTTCTCCTCGGGCTAAAATTAAGGCTGCTCCAATGTGAGAACTTCACCTCCCCACGAACTGCCCAACCTGTTCTTGAGCCCGACTTGTGGGCACCACGTTAAGAAAACAACTTCCCTCCCTGGACACTGAGCATTAAACACTACAATGAAAGCATTACCCCCGGCACGTGCTTCCGTGTCAGCTTGGCTGGTTTTCGAGCTGCTTTTTCATGTTCTTTCCCCAGATCTGCCTCCCTAATGCTGTCGAAATAGGGGTGCTGCAGCAGCTGCTCACACGTCTGCCTCTCCGCAGGGTCCATACGAAGGCAGCCCTTAGAAAAGACCAAGGGTCACACAGAACATAATGATACATAAAGGTCTGCACGATTCCAGCTCTTTGCAACAGCCAATGAGTATTTGCACAGATGGATGCATAGGTTTTATTTTTCAAGGAATTCTACAAATCTGGCTTTTTACTGTCAGCTGGAAGCTTGCAAAGCAGCTCACATGAACAAACGCCACCTCTGACAGAAGGCAATACTTAGAAACTAAGGGTAGAGGGACACTTGTTCTACAGCAAACCATCAAGTCTCAGAAAACAGCTAAGCCCATGACTTCCAGTTGAACCAGAACAGTCTTCTTAAACTGAGGAATCCAGTGCATCACTAGCTGTGTTGTTCCAGGGTTTGGTGCTACCTAAAGCTGCACCTTTATTTTTAATGCTTTCACCCTCATGGTTTCCACTTGGTGCATCTCAATGGAACAATTTGTTTTCCATGTCTGTGCTAAAGACGAGCAGGTTAACAAGAAGCAGACTAAAAGTTTTCTCCAGTTCCCCTTCAGCTCTGTTTTACTATGAACCTATGATCGTTCGGTAGCCAAATCTCAAACCATCTACCATCTGAACAAGCAAAGCAGACTGCATTTGTTAAGTCTCAGTGTGGAGCTCAAGCTGTAGCTCCTTGCCTCCTGGGCACGCTGCTTCGGGTAGAGGACCTTGTGAGCTTCAGCTTCAGACACTTTGCTTACCTTCATGAGAGCTAAAGCAGGGTATGAAATAGTAGGAAATTTCATTTCCAATGGCTCCTGGAGGAAAAAGAGAGGAAAAAAAAGTAGTTGTATTAGCAAGCTTTTCTTTCACCACGTTGCCTATAGATTGCTGGTTAGTGCTGAGCTCGAGGGGAACGCATCTGAAGGGAGCTCCTACCATGCTCTCTGGGTCTGGAATCGTTACGCCGCTGAAGAACTGGTTGGTGCTGAACACTTGCTGGTGCCTGGGAATAAGATCCCCTTTGAGCAAGGAGGAAACAGAATGAAAATCAATCAGAACAATTGGCTGGTTTTACAGTGTCTGCTATGAGCGAGCTGATCTAACAAGGCTGGCAGCATCCAAGAGAATATTTAAAGTACCATCAGAGGAGCCAACAAAATACTGTTCTGTGAGCACCCCCCATCCGTCACCTCAAGGAATTGGAAGTTTAACTACACTCCTAGCTAAGGAGTTTACGGCCCCAGCTCACCTTCCTGCCTGTATACATTGCTCAGCAAAACACCACAGTTCTCCACTTATTCCAATACGAGTTACACACGGAGCTCTGTTCCCTCCCAGCCCAGAAATCAGTCACTGCACAGCGGCATCCACGGAGGAAACCCATCCTCGTGCAGGCACGGTGGGCCTGCTGCTTACCCAGCGTTCTGCGGATCAGGTACAGCTGGTCCACGTCCGACTTGCCGGGCCACAGCGGCACCCCGGAGAGCAGCTCCGCAAAGACGCAGCCTATTGCCCACACGTCCACCGGAGGGCCGTACTGCGTGTCCCCAACCAGCAGCTCGGGGGAGCGGTACCACCTGGTGGCCACGTAGTCTGTGTAGTAATCAGCTGGGCCAGCTGGGTTGGGGTCAGGAAGGAGAGCAACAAAACGGGGTGTGGGGTCAGAAGGGTGCGGACGCAGCTCAGGGCAGCAACAAGAGGCTGCCCAGAGAGGCTGTGATGCCCCGTCCATCCCTGGAGGTGTTCAAGGCCAGGTTGGATGGGTCCCTGGGCAGCCTGGGCTGCTGTGAAATGTGGAGGTTGGTGGCCCTGCATGGCACAGGGGGGTTGGAGCTTTGTGACCCTTGAGGTCCCTTCCAACCCTGGCCGTTCTGTGATTCTGAGATCAACAGCACCTTTGGGACCCACGTGAGCTCCAGGAACAGGATGAGTCACTGCCCACCAGCAGAATCCAACTTTGCAAATACTCAGGAGTTGAGAAAAGCCCAGAGCATGTTTTTCTCAAAATGAAAACACACAGAGCTCGGCTGCAGGCCCCGTGCCAGCTCTCGAAGCCCACATGATTTGCTTGAACAACAGCTACAAAAATAAAATCGGGGGCTTTATTACGATGGAAAATGTGAAGCTATTGTTTGCAGAGATGGCACCTTCTGCCAAAGGGAGCCCTCCTGCTAGGGAACTCCAGCTGTGCCCCAGCATTGCACAAGCAGTGGTCAGGCCAGCCGCCGGCTCAGCACCAGCAGGGAGCTCAGGGCACATTAATTATAGAGGCATTCAAATGTCTGAGCCAGCCCTGTTTAATCTGCTCTGGAGATCCCAATCCAAGCATCTCCAGTGCCTTCAGCAGAAGCTCTTTGTAAAAACACACCAGCCCTTATATGTTACACAAGATGTAACATCACTGAGGCCTGAAAGCCCAAACCTGCGCTTCACTGAGCCCTGGCATGTACCACCCATGGAGGCAGGCAGCAGCACTCACTCAGCATGCGAGCAAATCCGAAGTCACAGAGTTTGATGACAGAGTGTTTCGTTATCAGGATGTTTTCTGGCTTTACATCTCGGTGGATGCACTGGAAACAAAATCAGAAAGTAAAAACCAAAGCACATCAAGGTTAGAAACAGCTATTTTAGCTTGGAAAACAGCTATTGTTAGCTTGGAGAAGAGGGGACTCCAGGGAGACCTCATTATGGCCTTTCAATACTTGAAGGGAGCAGAGGGGAATGGCTGTTTGTGAGGGTGGATGGTGCTGGGACAAGGGGAATGGATTTAAACTGAGACAGGGGAGGTTTGGGTTGGATATGAGGAGGGAGTTTTTCAGCCAGAGGGTGGTGAGGCACTGGCACAGGTTGCCCAAGGAGGCTGTGGATGCCCCATCCCTGCAGGCATTCAAGGCCAGGCTGGATGTGGCTCTGGGCAGCCTGGGCTGCTGGTTGGCGACCTGCACACAGCAGGGGTTGGAGCTGGATGAGCACTGTGCTCCTGTGCAACCCAGGCCATGCTGTGATTCTGTGATTCTATTTAACCTGGCCCTTGGACAAAGAATTGCTCAATTTAGCTGCTGTTAGTTTCTTCTCCTAGGGACTGAAGTGCTCCTTGCCAACCCAGCATCACAGAGTTCCAGAGAAGGGTGACTGCATAAAACCTCATCACCTGTGATCTACAGCAGGTCAGGCTGTGCTATCTAATTGTCCACCAGCTTTAAAACTCCATTAAATCTTTCAGACTGAGAAAGAGAGAATGAAAAAGCCAAATCCTAGAGGCAGGACAGACCTCTGAGCGAGTCCCTGTGTGTCAGACTCCAGAAAGCAAAGGAGTGCTTATAAAGCTCTCACTGCTGTGGGCACACACTGCTATATCTGACTTCTTCCCAAGAAAACTCTGCCATCAGGAGAACGGCATCAGGATCTGTGTCTCACCCAGAGGCACATCACAGCTCTCGTTGGTGCTGCTCAGGGGACTTACGTTGTGTTTGTGACAAAAGTTCACAGCTTGGAGGGTCTGCCAGGTGATGCTCCTGACCAGATGCTCCGGCACCCTGTAACAAGAGAGCACATTTTTACTCTTTGGGTCAAACAAATTCACTATTACAGGAGAAAGCAGAGCCTGTTGCAGGAGGCAAAGCTCTCCTGGGAGACTGCTGTCCCAGCACAGCAGGAGGAGCTGAGGGACCATCAGCACCACTTCCCTATCTGGTCAGCACAATGAGAGAGCAGGATGTATGGCAACACAGAGCATGCCACAGCACCCGGTGCCACTCAGCCACTTTCAAGCTCAAAACCAATTTTATTTCCTACGTTTAATGCTGCAAGACTTTTGATCCATCATCAATAAAAAAATAAGCCAAAATGAAATGCAAGAGGCTGGCTTCAGGAGACACTCTGCAGTCAAAACAGAAAGTCTTGTGCTCATGCAGCTGTTGAAAAGCTTGAGTTTCCTTGCAGAAACATCCTAGAAGGCTGAGTGCTGTGCTGACAGAGGGATGAAGCTGGTGAGACGACCCAGAACAGCGAGTGAAGAGGCATGAGCCCTCCCTTCTTAACCCTGACCGTGAAAGGCTTTACTTTCTGCAGGAGCAGAGATCAAAAGCCAAGTATGGCTGCCAGGGGGAAGTTGTGTGCTGTGAGAGTGGTGAGGTGCTGGAACAGCTGCCCAGAGAGGCTGTGATGCCCCGTCCATCCGTGGAGGTGTTGAAGGCCAGGTTGGATGGGGCCCTGGGCAGCCTGGGCTGCTGTGAAATGGGGAGGTTGGTGGCCCTGCATGGCACAGGGGGGTTGGAGCTTCGTGATCCTTGAGGTCCCTTCCAACCCGGGCCGTTCTATGATTATGTGAAATATGAATTAAGGAGGATATAGGAGGTGGAATTGTCACAGGAACAAACCTGGAAAATGTTCCTTCTGATCTCGTAGCTCACACTGTGTGCACATGGCTGTTTGCAGAGAAGGGTATCTGACCCCTGGGAGCTCCGCAAGGCACAGCTCAGGAAGTCCTGCCAGCCAACACACACTCCTGGGCTCCACCACTTCTCTGCTACACAGCAGGTCAGTGCCATCATTATGGGCTGTGTCCATGCTGGCTGCTCTGCCACAGCCCTGACCTCTTAGCAGTGGGACACAAAGCCTCCTGCAGCCACTCAAACCCACTGCTGCCCAGCCAGCTGCACACCACCCAAACGCTCAGCGCCCTGCTCAGCATGATCACAGAATCACAGAACGGCCTGGGATGGAAGGAACCTCAAGGATCACGAAGCTCCAACCCCCCTGTGCCATGCAGGGCCACCAACCTCCCCATTTCACAGCAGCCCAGGCTGCCCAGGGCCCCATCCAACCTGGCCTTCAACACCTCCACGGATGGACGGGGCATCACAGCCTCTCTGGGCAGCTGTTCCAGCACCTCACCACTCTCACAGCACACAACTTCCCCCTGACATCCAACCTCCATCTGCCTTCCCTCAACTCCAAACCATTTCCCCTTGTCCTGCTGTCATCTCCCCTTGCCAAGAGCTGACTCCCCTCCTGTCTGCAGGCTCCCTTTAGGTACTGCAGGCTGCACTGAGCTCACCCCGCAGCCTTCTTTTCTCCATGCTCAACAAGCCCAGCTCCCTCAGCCTGTCTTTGTAGTGGAGGTGCTGCAGCCCCCTGCTCATCTTTGTGGCTCCTCTGGACCCTCTCCAACAGCTCCCTGCCTTTCCTGTACTGGGGGCTCCAGACCTGGACGCAGTATTCCAGATGGGGCCTCACAAAAGCAGAGCAGAGGGGGACAATCACCTCCTGTCCCTGCTGCCACCCCTCTGCTGCTGATGAGCCACACCATGCAGGAGCACACATGGGCTTAGGGGCAGCAACAGGTAACCCTGGGCACCGTGATGAGAAATCTGTACTGGTATGAATGATATTCTTCTGGGAACTCTGCAGAGCTGCAGTGGGCTCCCATGGACAGCCCTGGCTCCTTTGCTCCAAGCTCCCAATCAGAGAAGGGCCACTCACCCCCGCGGGTGCTTATCCAGCTCGTGGAGAACAGTGTGGTCGCAGTACTCAAAGACCAGGTGCAGCTTCCTCTTCCTCCTGAACACCTCCAGCAGGTTCACCAGGTTGGGGTGTTTCAGTTGCTGTAACACACAGCAGGCAGGTCGGTTGGTTACTGCACGTACCCAGGCTTTGCAGCTATGAAAAGCAGCTCTCCTTGGGGAATCCCACAGTGACAGACCAACACACGGTGAGGAAAACAAAGAGCTCCTCCGATAAGCGCAAAGAAAGTACGTGGACTCAGCATCTCCAAGCTGTTGCCAGAATTTGGATGGGTTAACAAGCATATTTCTAAGCAAGGGAGCTGCAAAGGGCATTGCCTAGGAGCCACACTAACCCTGTCTTCCAAGGGGCCTCTCCATCAGACAGTGCCTGCAAAGGAGCGGGGAGCAGAAATGCGCAAGGAGCCGCAGCTGGGGAGCACCCCAAAAAGCCCTGCTGTGATTCCCCCTTTGGGAAGCAGCAGTGTTGGCTTTCCACTGCCCCCAGCGGGGTCCGCATGCAGACCAGCTCTGTTTTGCACATTTCCAGCACACCCCTCAGGATCCACCTGCTGCCCACTGCATGGAACGGTCCTCTGTCAGACCAACGTCACACAGGCACACCTTTGGCAAACAGCTGCTGCTGAACCTGGCACTGCTGCCACAAACAAGCTGTTACTATTGACAGAAGGCTGAGCAGCCAGCCACGCAGCTCTGCACTCCGTCACCCAGCGCTGCTGGGCTGCTGCTGGCCCTGCGGCCCTCAGGATGCTGCTCCACCATCTATGTTACCACAGACTTCTGCACTTCTCCTGCCCGCATCTGCAAAGCCATTTAAATCTTAATGTACTGTTTGCTAAAACAGCACAGCTATCAGGCCTCTCTGCTCCTCTGACAGTAACATGGTGTTGTTACTTATGGAGGTGTTCAGTGAGGGATGAGGGGATAGCATGAGAGGCATTGGGAAACGCTGTGACCTGCAGAAATCTCCTCTGCTTTGGGGAGCTGAGGGCCACCTGCTTCCCAGAGAGCAAAGCTGGGCAGCTCCGTGGAAGGGAGCATTGCAGTAAGCAGCCACAGGCTGGGAGCATGGAGAAAGGAGCTGGAATCATAGAACCACAGAGTGCCCTGGGTTGCAAAGGAGCACAGTGCTCATCCAGCTCCAAGCCCTGCTGTGTGCAGGTCGCCAAGCAGCAGCCCAGGCTGCCCAGAGCCACATCCAGCCTGGCCTTGAATGCCTGCAGGGATGGGGCATCCACAGCCTCCTTGGGCAACCTAAGGAACAGATCAGAACATCATTCTCTGCAGCTCTATGGGGTTCTGTTAACTTCAGAACCTTTCGCCCTTGGTGGACTGCAAGAATGCAGTGTGCCCAGGCTGACTGCATGGCTCCTGAGAAGAAAACACCTTACAGGGGCTCCTTTAGTATTTGTAAAGCTGTTCTTCTCCTGCCCCGGTGTGGCTGCCCCCCTACCAATGCTGTGTTATGGCAGAGGAAGGGAAATGTAGGGACGGAGTTCCTATGGCTGTGGCACGGCTGCTCAGGGTGCCATGGAGACCAAACGAACACAAGAGCAGAAAGAGACAGACTGAGCAAAGGGCTGCGAGCCACAGAGCTACGGACGCAACCTCCGGCTCCGGGAAGGCTGAAGGCTCCGGGGAAGGAACCCCAGAACCACGAGGACAGAGGCCAGGTCAAAACCATTGCGAGCACAGCCATCCCTTCCATGGGCACAGCGGCCACGTCAACCCCCCTCCGCAGCGCACCGGACGGACGCTCGCCCGCCCCCCGCGCGGTGCCGCCCACCTTCAGCACGCGGATCTCCCGCAGCGCGATTTTCCGGATCACCGGGTCCTCCTCGGACTCCAGGAACTTCTTGATGGCCACGATCTGACCCGTCTCCCTGTTGCGGCACTTGAAGACGACGCCGTACGAGCCCTCTCCGACCTTCCCCAGCTTCTCGTACCGCTCCATGGCGCGGCTGCGCCCCGACCTGAGCCCGGAGCCGCGGTCAGCGCCTCCCCGGGGCGGGGAGGAGGAGGAGCTGCGCCCGGGGCCGCTGGGACGAGCACGGCGCTCTCCTCCAAGACCCGAGGGCTCCGAGCTGCGTGCGGGCAGCAGGGAGCGGGGAGGCTGATCCCGAACCTGGAGCAGCCCGGTGTGCTCCTACCAGCAGCACTCCTTCCGTCTCCTTATGTCCTCGCACACGCTGCGCGGGAGCGGCGAGGTCACCGTCCCTGGAGGTGCTGCAGAGCCGTGGAGATGCGGCACTGAGGGATGTGGGCAGTGGGCACGGTGGGTGGGATGGGGGTGGGCTTGGAGAACTCAGCTCAGAGAACTCACTTTTCTGAGTGATTCTATGGCTCTTTGTGCGATGTCCGCCAGCAGAACTGCAGGTCACCGAGGTGCTCCTGGCTCCATCAGGACAGCAGGGCACTCAGCCCTGCCTGTGGCCCTTCCCACCGACTGCCACGAAGGCAGAGATCAGTTTACCGGGCTCCATCCGATGAGGCATTGTTCCCAGCAAGTGCACCGCACCACACCGAGGTATCGAATAAAGCATCGTTTATTTGGCACAGACTGAAACGAGCAGCAACAGAAACAGAAGCAGAACAAAAAGCCTAAGTTGCCCAAATGGGAACGCATTCCATCAGCCTCGGTTACAATCTATGAAACAAAACAGAAAGTCTCAACAAACGGACGGCGCCCATCGGAGGCAGCTGGGCATGGACCACGTGGCCACTGGTGCCAAACTGCTCAGAGGAAGCAGGGAGGCTCTGCAGTGGGAATCAGCACCTCACAGCCATGTAAAACCGGGCTGCGCATTTCAGAACACGCCACGAGAAACGTCAACAGCTCCAAAAGGGGGTTTGATTACAGGAGGACTTTCCTAGGGCCTTTCTGTACGATTCAGAAAATCCCCAGCCTCCCATGTCACTCCCTTGGTTATCTTTGCAAGGCAGCATCCTGACCTAATGGGTATTGGCTCCAGTTATTCCCATAAACACTTAAACGTTGTGTGCAGATTTCTCTGTCTTTGAGATCTCCCTGAGCTCTACGAAGTGATGAAGCCCAAACAAACTTCTGCACTGAGTGAAATGAGGGCAAACACTTCCTCTATAACATTCATATGCCGTGCTTCACTTTTTCTTTGCTTCTGCAGTAGAGCTGCTGCTGTAATCCTGGGGCACCACCTGGGGCTGCTCACCCAGCACTGCCCACCTGCACTGCCACCCAGGGCACCCAGCTCAGTGCTGCAGAGCTCAGCTTCCTTCACACGTGGAACTTAAACCTCTCCCTCACGGTGCCCATCCAGCTGCCCACTCAGCCAACTTCCAAGCATTGGTGGTGGCTGACTTTGAGGTTCTGGATGTACATCAATTATCAAACCCTGATATGGATATGGAACTGAAAAGCCAGACTTGATGTAAACCTCAAGTCAGTACCAAGAACGGCTTCTGAATGACACTGCTAAGTAGATAAAGCACTACACAGCATGCAGTCTGCTGGTGCTCCTTCCTGACCTTCAGAACACCCACACTGGCAACAAAGCACATTACTGATGCACCACGTGTGTGAGCTCATCCCATCGGTGTTCAATTCCAACCAGCAGGTTGGTGCCCACACAGACATCCCTGCACTCCATCTGTCAGGTTGGGAGTTCAATCAACCTCCTCCAGTTCTGCTTGCAGCCTCGAGCCAGGCCCAGCTCAGTGCCATGCTCCCATTCCTGCCTCCTCACAGCGATGCACAAAGCTCCAGACCCATCTCTCTTAGGGCAGCAGGATGGATGCTGCACACTGCAGGGCTCCATTAAGTTCTGTGCTATGAGAGTGGTGAGGTGCTGGAACAGCTGCCCAGAGAGGCTGTGATGCCCCGTCCATCCGTGGAGGTGTTCAAGGCCAGGTTGGATGGGGCCCTGGGCAGCCTGGGCTGCTGTGAAATGTGGAGGTTGGTGGCCCTGCATGGCACAGGGGGGTTGGAGCTTCGTGATCCTTGAGGTCCCTTCCAACCTGGGCCATTCTATGATTCTATGATTCCACGATTTCAGAGCCCTCCAATCTTACCAAAGCACTGCTCCATCTGCCTACAGACTGAAGCAAGCAGGTGGACGTAAAGTAGCAAAACCAGATGCCATCATCAGCCCAAGGTACCTCAAAGTCTTAATGAACGAGAAAGACAAACGAACCCACATGGCTTTTTAATGGAGGAACAAAACCAGAAGGAACAAACGCAGCTGACAGAACAGGGAAGGGGAAGAGGTGATGGAAAGCTTTAATACAGAATACTGCTTCTTATCGTATTTATTTATACCACCCAGCGGGGAACGCGGCACCCAAAGCCCAACAGGAGGAGGAGGGCAGAGCAGAGGGCCGTGCAGCTCCGCTCTCCCCCTGGGAGCAGCATAAATAACCTACACGTCAGGGCAGCCCGATACACGACGCTTCCATTCGTTAAGGATGAGGCCCGGGTGCAGTTTCCACCTCCTGCCACCAGGCTCGTCCCTAACTTGTGAAAATAAAGCATAGCTATTTTGTACATTTATATATATATATAAATATATATATAGATATAAAAATACACGCCGCCGGTCAGCTGGATACACATGCACACATGCACACACACGGATGTGTCTGGCACACACCCACCCGGCAGCAACACGTCAATACCAACACTGCATTTTGTGTACAGCACCCCTACGTCTAGCAAAGAAGAAAATCCCTTTTATGGCAATTCTGCAGGCAAGAAGAAAATCCATACAAAATACTTGGTTGTACAAAACTGCATTTTTACAAAGTCCGACGCTGTAACATAGCCTCAGTAATGCACTACATCTCTACAAGGAAAAGAATCGTCGAATCTTTATACAGCTGTAAAAAACCAAACCTGTGAGCTGCTCCACAACCTTCCTGTGCTCAAAGTTAGATCCGTGACACCACCCTAGCAGCAGATTAATAAATAAGGATTAAATAGTCTATAGTACAAAGCCATACCGAACGGCAGACTGAAAACCAAGGAGCTCTGCGGATACTTTCACTCCCTACACAAATTGGGTTTTTTAATTAAGAAGACTCGGTATAAAAGGGGGAAACAGGCACTAGGTCTGTATCTACAGGATGCACGGGAAGCCCGAGGGAAGTAAAATAATTAACAGTTTATGGCACCTTTACTGAATAACATTATTTTAAAGGCTCTGTTTCCCTACACTAATGAGTAAAGGGCTACTTAGATCATAGCTTTTATTAAGCAAACTTGACATAACCAACCACACAGTGGCAAGAGACAGAACCAGCTGTTCCCAGCTGCTAAAATGTATTGATTTCCACCTGAAAACAGCAAAACGTAGGTGTCAAGAGAAGCAAAGAGTCACAGTCCCACATGCACTGAGTTTCCTAATGCTCCTTTTTCCCCCCGCGGTGAATCCCCCACGTTGGGTCACTGCAGCTCAGTAACTGTTTTCGTGGCCAGCCAAGATGTAGAGGTTGCTGTGTGCAGTTGGGTTCTCCGTCGGCCTGCTCTCCAGCACCACCACTCTGCAACCAAACACAAACAACACCCAAGCAGTCAGCAGCAAAGCACACAGTATGTGGCTGTTACAGCTTTCTCGAGGCTGGGGGGAGAGGGAGCTCCTAAATATCGGGGCATTTTGTCCTTTAAACCCATTACCTCCTTTCCCACTCTGTAGCATCTCTTCCTTAACAACACCCAGGCAAACAAGGGGCAGGGGAGCAGTCAGCCCTCCGACCCACGGGCAGCCCCTCCTGTCCTTCCCTTCTGCACCTCCATAGCTCTGATGGGATCCAAGCCAGAAAGGTGTTACTGGAGCTCACCTGAGTGTAGCAAGAAAGTCTTCTGTCTGGACAGTGATAAAAGGAGGAACCAGGCAGCTTGAGAAGGATGGAAAAAACTGCACAAAGCAGCAAAAGCTTATTCTTGTGATCAACTTGCTCTACTGGGAGTCAGTGGGAAGGAAATCACCACTGCCTGTCATAGAATCACAGAATCCTAGCAAGGCCTGGGTTGCACAGGAGCACAGTGCTCATCCAGCTCCAACCCCCTGCTGTGTGCAGGTCGCCAACCAGCAGCCCAGGCTGCCCAGAGCCACATCCAGCCTGGCCTTGAATGCCTGCAGGGATGGGGCATCCACAGCCTCCTTGGGCAACCTGTGCCAGTGCCTCACCACCCTCTGGCTGAAAAACTTCCTCCTCATATCCAACCATGCAACACAACAGGCAGAGCCCTGCCAGAGGCTGCACAGCCTTTGTTATCTCTGCAGTCAGAGGTGGCTGTGGGAAGAACACTCAATTCCAATGGCAGTGCTCAGGCACCACGAGCCCCCAGTGGCTCAGGTGCGCAGCACAGACTGCAGTGGGGAAATACAAACACACACCTCCAAACCCAGGAGAACTGGGGCAGCTTCAGCAAAGCTCTCCCTCTGGAGGCAGCAGTGTGCACTGCAGCCTTAGGGCTAACAAGGTGAATGCACCACGGCACATTCAACCCTCAATGAGCTCAATTTTGCTTCACTATTTCCACCTCTCAGGGTCCAGAGCAGCAAAGGCTTTTTTAGAAGTGATCTGTTGCCAGATAGCGTCAGGTCAGCGTGAAAATCATCACAGCTACTGCAGGTAGAAACAAGTGAGACTTGTCCTGCAGGACTGCCTATGGGTGGATCTGCTGTGGGATGGAAGCCCACACGTGTGGAAGCTCATGAAAGAAAACAGGTGTGTGTATCTTCACACTGATTACCTGTCAGAGCCCAGCAAGCGAAAAACCCTGGTTTCATCTGATATCTCCTGGGTAACCTGCAGAAAGATGGAGATATTAAGGTCCATTTCAGAGGCAAAATGAGATGCCCTGGTATGAGATGGAAGGAAGAAAGAAATCAAAAATGCAAATATAATTCAGGGAAAATTACAGGACTGAATCAGACAAACTGGTGCTAAGTAAAGAAGCGTTCTGAACTTCATAAAGTAAAGCTCACTTTAAATCATTTTTTTA